GGAGTGCTTCAGGGATATGGGGAGAGGTAATCATAAAGAACGAGCGAAGCAGGAATACATGGGGGTAGAGGTTAAAAAGGTGAAGTGAAGAAAATGAGTAGAAAATATGTTTTATAAAAATCACTTAATTTGGTTGCCTTAGAGAGCGTTTAGACTTAAATTTGAAATATTTATTTATTTTTTAATTTAAAAAACTGTTTCCTTCTTTAGATCTTTCAGGTATATCTTTTTTTTGTTTACTATTATATCCACTATCTTCGACAAGACTACTCTATACAATGATATGAGGACAGAAAGCTTGATATGAAAGGGAAATATAGTGATACGCATGGCCATCAAGGTTGTTTTTTGAAAAAAAACAAATATTGTGTTAAGTGCCCAATGTAATCCATTTTGTATATGTAGAAACTTTAGCTATCTCTGAAGAATGTGAATCACATGGTACTTGTATCAGGTTTAGCTATTTCTGAAGAATGTGAATCACATGGTACTTGTATTGAGTTTAGCTATCTCTGAAGAATGTGAATCACATGGTACTTGTATTAGGTTTAGCTATCTCTGAAGAATGTGAATCACATGTGTTACGTATTCGAATTTCAAATAGTCCGAAGCCAAGTTAACTGATAATTTAAATTTAGTAGTTAAATCGTACTTTGGATTTAGTATTTAAATAAATGCCGATATATAGTCAGTTTGTGATATTTGCCAACAAGATTGATACACAGTTTTCTCTTTTAACACAAATACGTTTTAATATACACACAACAATACCATTTACAGAAACAATTATTACAAATAGTTATTACAAACAAATATTTATAAACAAAAGTTTCACAAACTTACAAACAATATAAAATCTTCTTTCTAGTTTGGAACTCCCTTGATATCTTATCGAGGGTTTACGATGAGCGAGTTAATTACGAGTTGGTGTAAGTACGATTCGCCGGGAAGCTAGCCAGCTTTGTCCTTTGCTACACACGCTGAGTTTTTCCACCGTTGAAGTTAGGTAATGTTTTCGTAAAAATACTAATGCCCGATGAGAATCCACTGAAGTTAAATAATTTATAATGTTCGAACTTTGTAAATGTTCCTGGTCAAATATCTGAAGTTTTCCGATTGGTAAACGTTATAAAAATCACAGTTTTAGCTTTCGAAGTTTATAGCACACTGATTATAGCAAACTACTTTTGGTGCGTCGCGTTGGTTGTATTTATAGGCGTGGGAAGGTTTTTTTAGAAAATTCAGATTACATGACAATACTGAGCTATATTTAAACGTTTCCGTATATAAATGTATTGTTGATTCATTGTTTGTTTGTTTGTAATGAAGCACAAAGCTACACAATGGGCTATCTGTGCTCTGCCCACCACGGGTATCGATATCCAGATTCTAGCATTGTAAGTCCGCAGACATACCGCTGTTCCACTGGGGGGGGGGGCTGTTGATTCCTATTCTCGAGAATCTTCTACAACTTTGGAGAATAGGCAGGAGTTTCGCAATGCATATCTAACACTACAAGCTATGCATGTTTTTGAATATATAAACTTAATGTAAACAACTTTCATATTAAAATAAATACACAACAACAAATTCTTTACACATGGTACTTGTATTAGGTTCTGCTGTTTCTGAATTGTGCATGTAGTTAGTTCAGCTGTTTCTAAATAAAGTGAACCACTTGTATATGTATTAAGTTCAGCTGTTGTCATAGCTGAAATATCTACCAATTTTATCCTTCTGTAACTAGTATACAATATATCATTAGTCAGGTATATACAGGTAAATTTTCATGCATGTGTTCTGTTAAGTCGTCAATATTGCGAATTGTTTTACTGTAAAGGTTACACACGGCAACGGTTAGAAGTTCGTTTAGTTTTGGCTCACTGTCACATCACAAGGGGTTATACATATACTTTGTTCAAATTCGTATGAGTTTGGGGTGTGTGTGTGTGTGTGTGCTGTGTATATTATTTGAAATAGTCAATTATAATATATAGCTTTTGATTACGGAATATCACACTTGATTATGTGTCTGGTATGAAAGTGTGGTATGTTATAATAATTTCAGTCTTTGTCCTGTGTGAACTTGAAGGTGACTGAAAAGTTCTATTTCATCTGAGTAAAAGTCACAATGTAAAGTTTTAAGCCAGAAAGTCTTGAACCTTTGTTTTTACAGAAATTTCTGGCTAACTGTTGGATATCAGTGTACTTGAATTACACAGACTTGTTAAAAAAAGTAACATCTTAGTGCCATAACCTGGATTTGTTATTGTCGAGATTATTTTGAATGTGATTCTTTTTCTAGTATACTGTAATATTTGTCATTTGTGGCCATGAAAATATATTTTATAAGATCACATAGAACTTACAGGGAGAGAAGGAAGTTAGAGCTAATGTGAAGACTCAATCAAACAATTCAGCAAGAACTAGAAGATGCACTCTCTTAGATCCAGAGCATATGTCGGCGTTCTCAATCCATACTTAGTACAATGAGATTGATGAATGCTTCAATGGGTTAGTTAAGGTGCTTATGACTCAATCTGTAACATACTTCTTATAGTTTAGAAAATGTGACAGCAGAGAAGGTTCGTGGTGATGTAAAGCAGCCTGTATGTCCCAAGACTTACTAGAGTGATCTCTAACAGACAACACGACACTCATTAACAAGCTCAAGCATATGCTTTTTGATATTTGGAACTAAAAACTACACTTGAAACATTTGCTACTAGTGGTCATAAAAACGATATTCATATATGCTTTGCCATTTGATAGGTTATTTTCCTTAATAAATATAAAAAGTCAGCATTATTGCACACTTGCTAAAGTAATTTTCGAACATCTGTTTTTTAAGTTGTTGATGCCAAAGCATTCTGTCAGCTTGGCGGTTAGAGCTCTCGAATCGCAATCTGCAAATCAGGGGATTGAATCCCGGCGCCAAACATGTTCGTCCTTTCAGTCGTGAGGAAGTTATAATGTGACGTTTAGGTTCACTACTAGTTGATAAAAGAGTAGCCCAAGAGTTGGCGGTTGGTGCTGTTAGCCAGTTACCTTTCCTCTAGTCAGCATGTCAAATATAAAGGTATCGGCTGATGGTCTTAGCAGCTATGTTATAAACAAAATCAGTAACAACAACAATATTCTGTCTGATATGCCAAAGACCCGAGCTCGAACGTTCGATTACGAGAGCGTAAAATATATATATAAAGTAAATGAAATATTCAGTCCTTTCTTATACGTCATTCGTGATATAAACTTTGCGTTATGCAAATTGAAGAAAACTTTTGTTATACTAGGAGAACGTAAAATTGAGCTCAAAATAGACAAAATGTTTTAATGTTTTTTCATTTATTATAAAAAGTATTTTCAGAGTGTACATCTAGGCCAATTCTGACTACGTATATATAGTATACATATATATATACGTAAATATATAGTATGTAATAAAAATTAATCTAAATATTATTATAATTCTAAAAACATTAACATTGTTTGTTTGTATATAATTGAGCACAAAGCTACACAATGGGCTATCTGTACTCTGCCAATAGAATTTCATGTATTCAAAGAAAAAGAAAGAGTCGTTATATATTTTCAATGCAATTTTATGTGCAACATACTTTGAAAATATCGCTTGTATTAAGTATTGTAAACGTATAATTTCGTCCTAATATGATGATTTTTAAATTCTAATTTATGTAGAAGACATAAATGTTGAAACTTTGCATTAAAGTAAATCAGCTTAGAAAGCAAAAAAATATATATTTTATGTCGCATATAAAGCGTCGCAAAAAATGGAATTTGAAATACAAAGATAAAAAAATTTAAATCACTTTCCTGTGTTTTTATCCTAGCTTATATAATATGATATACATAAAATCTAGCTCGTGTACAGTTAACTTTTATTATTTTTTAATGATTTTTACACGAACATAAATCCTGTTTCATAGCTTACATATTTCTATCTTTTAAGCACGCAACTGTTCACTGGTTGAAAAATTTCAAACAAACCTTTGAAAACTTAGCTTTTAAGTGGGTCAAGACCAACTGTTGCCGGTATATCGCACGGTCTGCTATGTTTTTCTTTCTTTCTTTATTAGCTAACACTCAACTTTGATATCAACCAGGTTTCCAGCCGTGTAATAAAACCCGAGAAACGAAACAATATAAGGTTAATAACAACATCAAAAAAAAAAAAAATTGCACTAGTACTATATTTTGTTTGCTGTGTTTTCTTAATTCTCGTCGTACCAAAATATGTCAGTTAATATCTGTCTTAGTAAATACATCACAAGAGTATTTTGTTTCATGGATAAAGTTAAAATATTTTACTAAAGTATTATTTGTTCGGTCAATTCGTTGTTGCACAGGGAATTGCGTAGACGGCTCTAACTCGCATAGGCTTCGCTGTTCAAAATATTAAATTGTAAGACTTTAACTTGATCTCCCACTTTTTATTATAAAGAATAAGGTAATCTGAAATATCATTTTTCACGTTCATGATCACGTGATATCAGCCTAATTTTAATTTCGATAGTTTATTACCGTAAACCGTAATTATTTGGCCTCTGTCCTGTGAACAAACGCATCTCAAGATCAAAATATAAATATTAGTAATTATCTGTCTTAAGAAAGGATTCATTCTTCAAATATCGAAAACAAATGGGGCTGGTCATGAGTGAGTAGTTAACGTTCCCCCACTCATGGTTCGCGTCCCGTTGCTGCAAAACTCGCCTCACGTTGAATAGACTGAAACCAAAAATGAGAAATACTAACTAATATCGTATTAACTTTTACAATATGCATAACTAGAATGTTAATAACTAGCTCCTTGCTAGACATTTCAGTCAAATAAATGTATCATGGCTAGGTGAACATTCTTATCTTGTCTTATTAAAGTACATGTTTTACTGCTTGTCGTAATTGGACATCGCGAGCCTCAGACTTGTACTTGATATACAAAAATTGTGCGGTTCGTGTTCACGCCTCAGCTACGACGGGGCCAGAGAGTAGAACGGTACTAGTTGGTATATTGTACTGTACCTGGCTCATAGCAAACAGACGTTACACTGTGTGTTCACTAGTCAGTTTAACCCAGTCTAACATAGGACGTATATTTAGTTGTGAATCAATAGCTCGGAAGCTTCTACATTATGTAAGAGAAAGTATATTATATAATACGTTGAAAATCAACGTCCGCTTGCTTTGTAGGTTTATGAGAAGATTCAATAGCCAATTTTTGTGCGATTATTGTACACAAATATCACTATAAAAGTACACAGATTTCGGAAACAGTAGTGATACGGTGAGAAAAAATGGCTAAAATATTTGTTCAAAAGTCGACTGCTGTGTTCAGTATCGCAGTGTTGGTCTTGATGATGTTGTGTGTGGGTTTATTAGTAGCACTGATGAAAGGAAAGGCACACCACGAAAAGTCCCTAGCAGACAAGATTGTGTCCGGACCTTCTTTCAATACAATTAACAAGAACGTTCACACCAAGTCGACCACAACGACCACAACTACAACTGAGAAGCAGGAGATGACGACCACCGAAATCCCAGAACCGTGGCACGACTTCAGACTTCCACAACATATTAGACCACTCCATTATGACCTAATGCTACACCCAGACTTGAAAGCAAATGTTTTTAACGGTAGGGTAACAATTGAAGTAGAACTAACCAAACCAACTAATTATTTCATAGTCCATATTTACAAGCTGAACGTCACAAAATCTGTGGTACAGAAGAAAAGCGACAAAACCGAGATTAACATCGCCGACTCTCCCTTTTATTACGATCCCAACGAGTTTTGGGTAGTGAAAACCGAACGAGATCTAAGCCCAAACGAAAATTATATTTTGGTGTTTGAATTTCAGGGATCTTTGATTGGCGAAATCGTGGGTTTTTACAAGAGCAAGTACAAAGAGTCCAGACAAAATCAGACCAGGTAAGTAAAATAGCAAACAATTCGTTGCTCTCCTTGAAACCGGGTTCATACAAAACTAGTGAACCTTTTAAACAGGTTGATTTTCTCCTGCACACTGTCCCAGTTCTTCCGTTAACCCAGCCACGAAATCCAGACATTGGTGAATACAATGTATACAGTCAACTCAGGCTGTGTAGCTGTTTCGAGCTAACGGATTTGTGAATTTTCTTTTCTTCACATAATTTTTTTAGCACTCGCGTCACATAAACAAGGAGTTTTTTATGTTCCCTTTCAGTGCAGTGTTGAAAAGCGATTAAACGCATTTAACGCGCGTAAACACATTTACTTGACGTTGTGCTGTATAAAAGGTCACTCACTATGTTCACCGGCGTCTTGTCACAGCATCAATGCGTACTGAAACGCCCCAGAAACCAAACATGAGAGAACTTTAAATGTTACTGAAGATAGTAATCTCTCTCTCTATATATATTTATATATACATATATATACCAAAAGGAATAATACGTAAACTAGGTTTTGTTCAAGATGTAAAATATTACATGTCTCTTTTTATTTTTATGCCCGGCATGGCCAGGTGGATAAGGCGCTCGACTCACAATCTGAGGGTCGCGGGTTCGAATCCG